TTGAACCACCAGCCTTCTGGTTAGCAGTCAAGTGCCTTAGGCACTATGCTACCAGACCTTTTCAAATGGGGAAAATAATACCACCTTATCTTACAGTGTTGTTGAGCAATTAAAATAAGATCAGGTTTGCAGAAATTATTTTGTAAACCTTAAGTCACCACAAACTCAAAAACCAAACTCACTGCTGTTGAGTCAGATTGGACTCATAACAACCCCTCCCTTGGGTTTCCAAGGTGGTATCACTAGGAAGTAGATTGCCCAACCCTCACATATAAGGAACTCTGGTGGGTCAGTGCCTAAGGCACTTGACTGCTGACCAAAAGGTTGGCTGTTCAAACCCACCAGCTACTCTGCTGAAAGAAAATGGGGCTATCTACTTCTGTAAAGATTTACTACCTCAGACACCCAATGGGGGTTGATTAATGGCATTGAGGTTTTTTTTTTTTTTTTGGTTATCACGTACTAGAAAATTCAATGTACCTTTGCTCTTATGGCACCTGAGTTAAAAACAAAACATCCTTACAGGCAGTAAAGTAGTTTGTTAGATAATTTTGGCTAATTGGTTGCTTTTATGCTGATGCATGCTACTGAGCTTATAAATTATTAAAATAGGATAATTCTCTTACACTGCTTGAGTCAGACGAAGCAGGAAAAATGGTTACATAATTCTTGGAGAACTTTTTCTGATCCTCTGCTATTTTTTTTTAAAGGGGTTTGAGATGACAGCAAAACCTTCTGAAATCACATCCCATCAACCTGTTGTTGTTAGGTGCCACCAAGTCGTCTCCGATGCATAGCGACCCTATGCACAGCAGAATGAAACACCGCTCGGCTGCACACCAGCTCTGCGATCCTTGCTACACTTGAGCCCATCGCTGCAGCCACTGTGTCAATCCATCTCATTTGGGCCTTCCCCTCTTCTGTCAACCCTCCACCTTACCAAGAATGACATCCTTCTCCTTTCTGACACCATGACCAAAGTAGGTAAGATGAAGTCTGGCCATTCTCGCTTCCCAGGAGCATTCCGGCTGCACTTCCTCCAGGACAGATTTGTTAGTTCTTTTAGTAGTCCATGGGAGCTCTGGTGGCATAGTACCTAAGGCATTTAACTGCTAACCAGAAGCCTGGGGGTTCAAACCCACCAGCCTACTCAGAAGGAATGTTGGGCAATCTACTTCCATAGTGATACCACCTCGGAAACTCAAGGATGGGTTGCTGTAAGTCAGATCTGACTCAACGGCAGTGAGTTTGGTTTTAGGTTTTTAGCAGCCCATGATACTTTCAGCATTCTTCGCCCTCACCACAATTCAGAAGCATAAGTTTTTCTTCAGTCTTCCTTATTCATTGTCCAGCTGTCACATGCATATGAGGTGATTGAAAATACCATGGCTTGTGTCAGGTACACCTTAGTCCTTAAGGAGACATCTTTGCTCCTTAGCACTTGAAAGAGGTCCTTTGTGGCCGACATGCCCGGTGCTATATGTCAACTTAGTAAGAGGTATTGTAACACTTTTTTTTTTTCCCCCACTCTCACAATTCGGTCTGGCCTAAAAAGATTTTTTTAAACTTCGAGGACAGCTGCCCTCCACACAGTCCCAGAAATTAGAGGCAGAGCCCCCGATAGCCTCACAAATCCCCTGAGAAAACCCTCCTTCCTAAGGTCATGTCTGCCAGGCTATGAAACACCCGTTTGTGTGTGTTTGGAAGAATAAAGGCCATTTGCAGACAGTAGTGCCTATTCTTCAGGGTTTCAATTTCATAGCTCTACAAGGATCCCCTTGACAACTTGTGAAGACCTTCCCTGAACCTTCTGTGAGACACAGGCCAATGAATGCACAACTGCCTTGCTCCTGTAGAGTTGTGCCAGGGCCGCTGGCAAAGGAACATTTCTTCCATTAGCACAAAGTTGTTTCCTGTGTTTAAAAATGAGGAAAATCGTTCCATTGATATGAAGGCCGATTTGAGCAGGCTGGTCAGGAAATACAAAAGCAGAGATTTTCAGCAGCATCTTACTCATTGTACAGTGTCCAGTCACAGTGAGGTTAGCCAGCTGGCTTCCTGGTTGGATGTTTTGTCTTCTTTGGTAAGACTTCAGTCTATTGAGTCTTGTTAACCAGCAAACGAGTCACCTGGAAAGGTGTGGAGATAGAGACCAAGAGTGGCCTAGCCAGTGTTTGCAGAGAGATGAGTCTTGGTCCCAAATGAAATCATGAGGCCACTGGATAGGCCTGCTGTAATTAAGCCAAGAGACAATTTGAAAGGGACCAAAACAACCCTTGTCTGAAAAAGATATGGAGAACATATCTGTTTAGGTTGAAACAAATACTGCATTTTGGCATGGCACTTGCTTTCACGTGGACACTTTATAAAGTACCCCAAAATAGTCATGTTTTAAAAAACAAGCTCATAGTACTGTCACCATTTTACAGATTTGAATACTTATGCATAACGTAAGTCTCTGGAAGAGCTTTTTAAGAGTTAATAAAACAAGCAAAAAAAAAAAAAAAAAAGATCAGGATAAGATTTTTTTTCTATTCTATCTTTGTCCTTCTTTATCAGTAGATTTTATTTCTAAAATTATCATGCTAAAGGCCTGAGGGATGACTTTAGGAAACATGTTTACCAAGAGTAGACACACACTATAACTCTGAGACTTGGTAGGTACAGAAGCAGCAGATGTAATGGAAGACTGAGGGAAGGGAAGTGACTAATGGAGCAGTGACTGAGGGCCCAGGACTCAGACTTTATCATTAGGAGTTTCACATGAAGTAAAATATGTAAATGTAAACTTTGAGGTTAGAAAAAAATTATACCCCCTCCTCCAAAACAGAAAAAAGCCACACAAACCAACCAACCAATCATCAGATTTTATGCATAAATAAGTTATAAAACGTAGACCTATGTCAACCTCCAGTGTCCACGGACATAAATGAATGAATGAAAGGATTTTCTTCATGACTGAATTCCATCTTGCTACTCATCTGCTTGAGAAAGACTGAGAAGAAGGGCCCTGCCATCTTGAAGTTGATCAGGCTCACCAGGCTCTGTCAGGACAACGCAGGTGCTGCTGCTCATGCTATGCTCGGAGGCATGTGGCGAGCATCTCTTTGGTTCCTTATAGATCAGTGACTCTATTATGTTGGCTCACACAGATGAATGGGTGCCTGCAGGCTCTGCCTTGTATCACATCCTTCTGCTTTTCCAAAGAGACGCCAGGCCTGGGCCATTTTGCGAAGTTTAGCAATATTGGGTTTAATCTATGGGAAGAAACAGAATAAATCCAATTATCAACATAAAAAGTCAAGTAGTATACAGGTATTTCCTTCCTAACTATGACTGTTCAAATCTAGTTATATTTCTAATTTCTGGCTTTAGGAAAGACTATAGGTTTCCTCGGGATAAGTGGGGGTGAAAACTTTTAAGTCTAGAGTCCCATCTCCTTCAGCAATGAGGGCGAAACTTGTTTCACTTTTTCTTTCTCATGTGAAATAAAAAGTTTATAATGGAGTGAAACCATGAGTCAGAAAACATTAGTACTTGAAAACTCAACGCAAGAAAAGACTTGATAGCCCTTAGCAGGAAAAGGAGGCAAAAGGAAGCAGTCTGGAAAGCAGCAACATGGACATTCCTATTATGCTCTTGTGTTCGGTTTCATTTAAAATCATAACAAGGGCAGAAAATGTTTTAATTTAAACCACTCTGTGCCTTTTTTGTATTACCCGCATCATTGCTCCTGAGCCTTTGAGTAATCAGGGCCAAACCTAATGGGGAGATATCCTGAGCTTGGTTCCCCTGCTTGATGATCCCATAGCTCTCATAATTCTAGAGATACTTGGAGCTGGCTAGCTCTGGTGACAGGCCACCATTCTACCAAGAACCATCAAGCAACTGGATGTTCAGGCTAGGTTTTGCCCGCAGTGAGTTTGCAGAATTTCTACCAACTTTCTGTAGTCCCAGGAAGAACTTCTGCATCTTATCAAACCTAGAGCCAGTAGGCAACAGATGTTCAGGATAACTAAGTCTGCACATGTGTTAAACTTGTACACATGTGTCACGCTAAGCTCCATTATGAATTTGAGATGGAACATGCAGTGAGTGAGCCTTGATATGAAATTTCAATGTACATTTTTCAAAGCTCGTATTTTGGAAAGGATCGAGATAGATTTCATTTGGATGACAGGATCTGAAAAGAAAAGATAAGATAAACTTTGCACCCTCCTCTTTCTGTTAGTCATTAATATACCTCTTCTTCCTGCTCCAAGTGGTCTATGTCTGCTAAGGGCAGCATAGAAGGTCTCCCGTGCGCACACTGGAATGGCAGCTGGCACCCGGACAGAGCTTCAATAAGGCGATGGCTCTCCTCTAGGCTCAGACCATCATTAAACTTAATGGCCCCTAAATGAAAGAGATAGTTGTGGTGGGTATAGGAGAAGACCAATACTGACCCTGGGTCAGAGCCAACTACCTGGAAAAAGTAACATGTTTCTTAGGTTCTTTAATGTGGCTTTAGTGCTGCTTGGAACTGGCACTTATGGCCATGGATGAAACGAAGTCTTCAGGAGTGCCCTCTGCCTCTTGGTTCTTCCTTAGAGAATATTTGTCTTTCCAATGCCTGTAGGAGCCTTGCCTTACCTTGTTAAGATCTTGTTTTCAGGGTTTTTCTCAAAGAGGCAAGAATACTGCTTTATTCCTTACAGGTTTGTGAAACCGAGATCATCTTTTATCTACAGCTAATCCATCACCAAGATCTCTGATTGTTTCCCTACAATGTCCGTGTGATTAGCCTTTTTTTTTCCCCTTAAATTCCCATAATAATCTTTCTAATATAAACAAATTCTCATACTGTCAGAACCTGCATGTGGTAATTCACTCAGTCGGCAAATATTTATTATGTGCCATGCAGTGAACGAGACAGATGATCTCCACCCTAACAGAGCTTATAATCTAGTAGGTGAGATAAACACTGAACAAATAATTACACAATAATTTAAACTATATTTTAAGTACTACAAAGCATAAGGTATGGAAGACCATACCCAATTTAGGAGGTCAGGGAAGTCTTCCCCGGTAAAATGATACTTAGACCGAGACCTCAGGTGAAGAACGCCTTTGATAACTAAAGCAGCAGCAGAAAGACAGGTGCAGGGGCAAAGGCAGAGGGCACGGTCGTGAGGATGATGGACATGTTGTCCACGGGAAGAACAAGACCGAGGCAGCAGGATGCGATGAAAACAGCAAGGTGAGATGAGTGATGTGTAGTCATTGAAGAGTCTGGGTTAGAAGAATGACATGATCAGAGGGATGTTTCAAAAAGGCTCCTTGGGTGTTGAGGGAGTGAATGTGGAGAGACTAAGTGGACTCAACTGCAGCAAGAGCTAGGGATATGGTAGTAGAGACAGAATGAATTGGACAGATTTAAGATACATTCTGAAGGTAGACATTACACACAAATTGGTGATGGAATAAATAGAGGAGTAAAGACTGGATAAGGGGCAAAGGAGCTTAGGGTGTTTGTGGGAGACAGACCAAGGTTTGCAAGAGATGGCCCATGCTCCTAAGCATCAAAAGATGGGAAGTAAAGAGAGGAGAGAAGGCTGATGGAGACCGGAAATGGAGGGGTGGTACCAGTGGACTGGAGACCCCATCATGGTCAGATGACAGTTATAGGAGACTCTGTAGCTGTTAGGATCCCTATGGTAAGTTCCTTCCCTACCACAAATGGGATGGCTTGAACAAACAGGAGTTTCTGTATTTTACCATAAGACTCTACTCATGAATCCTTCATGATTTATGTAGTAAACCTAAAGATTTTGCTGGAACCTTCTAGGCTTCTGTTCTTACCAATCTAGCTTTTTTATATTCTTCCCTGCTCCTTGCATAACTATTTGTGTGTCTGGGTCTCTGTACATGCTGTTTCCTCTCCCTATACTGCATTTTCCTTACCATCCTACAAACCCATGTCCCTTGGTGTGGTAGTTAAATTTGTGTGTCAACTTGGTTGGACCTGGTTGAATGGCTGGGCAGCTGGATATAGCATTTCCCATGATGAGACTGATAATCAACTCCACGGTGGAATTTACTGTGAGCAGCTGAGTAGCTGCCTTAGGGACGTGGTCTGCTTCCTGTATATAAGGAGAAGCCTTGGCAATAGTCTCCAGCATATGGCACACTTGAATCATGCATGTAGCCATTATCATTGTTCAGCAGCCTGCCATGCTCTGCCAACCTTGTGACTTCCAATGGACTTGAATTAATGGCCTGCCGTGTGGTTTGGTAACATTGGGACTGTGCCTTTTTACTTGTCAACCTCGGACTTGTCAGTTTCTGCAGCCAAGAGCTGAGTAAAGAAAAGCCTCCAGTTTCAGAGGGCCTGGAGCAGGAGGCAGAGCTGAAGCTCCAGGCTGAGGGGCTTTCACCCAGCCCCTAGACGCCGGCACTTTAAACTTAGACTTAAAGCCTCCAGACTGTAAGAGAATGAACTCTTGTTTGTTCAAGCTATCCCATTTGAAGTATATTCCTGTCAGAGCGGCACTAGGTAACCAAAAACACTTGGCTCCTCCAAAACTTCAAAATGTACTTCCTGTAGGAGTTACTCCTCCATTCATACATGTCAGTTTGCATTACAGTCAAATATATATTTTAGTATTTTGCTCTGTTGTGGAAGAAAAGCCTTGTGATCTGCTTCCATAAAGCTTATAGCCAAGAACCATGTCAGCCACTTGGAGGGGGATCAGTGCAGGAGATACTGCATAGAGCGGGAGAACAATGTGGAACAAAACTCAGCCATAAAAAAAAAAAAAAAACAGTTTGCTGGTCTGATAGAGCCCGGTGAGACCCGAGACTACGGCCCCTAGTTACGCTTCAGGTCTGGAACTGAACTCACTCCTGTGGCTTCCAGCCAAACACCAGACAGGCATATGGGGTGAACATTTATATCAGGTAGATACACTACTTGTACACTACTTGGAACAATCAATCATGGGAGAACAGAAAGGTAGTGTTTGCACAGGGAGACAGCTGGTGGCGGGGGGCAGGAGTACATGGGAGGGAAGGACAGGGAAGAGGTAACTGTGGGAAGGAAGTGGGAAGAGTTGTTAAATTGTGGAAAATGACAGATAATATCATGAGACAAGATGTGTATGAACTGCTGTATGGAAAGTGAATTTGCTATGTAAAGTTTTACTCAAATCGCAAACAAAAAATTATAGCCAAGAAAACCCCATGGAACAGTTCTACTCTGTAACACATGGGGTTGCCACAAGTCAGAATTGGCTTGACAGCAATGGGTTGGTTGTATTTTGTTTTGTAAAAGTATTTAATTTTTTTTTTTTGTATTCAGTTTCTTGATCTAAATTGTGCCTTCCAAGAGATGAGTAGTAAGTGAGCCTTCGACTTCTTTCATAATCTGCCAGTGCTTAGCATAAGAGGCACTCAATAGCTGGTAAACTGAGGGTCTTACCATGGCAGGCTTGGGATGCCAACACCTTCTGGACCGTCAGTGGCAAAGTCCCCTGGATGCTTCCTGTGGTCTGGAGTAGCTAATGTATAAACACACTCTTTATTACCAGGTCAAGGAAATGAGATAATGGAGCCTTCCATGTGTGGTGCCTCTGTGTGCAATCCCAAAATAAGAGCAAGGCTTACCTCCACTTGTTCTCGAATAAATTCCTACAAAGCAAAAAGGGAAATAGGCATTAAACTACTATTGGGTTGTACTTTTCCTTTGATAGTTTACAAAATATCTTCATTTTCTCCTTTAAAATATGTCTTCTGAGATGCCTCCGGATGGATTTGAACCACCAACCTTTCAGTTAGCAGCCAAACGTTTAACTGTTTGCAACACCCAGGGACAGCTAGTATATTAATTGGTATAAAAAATAAATTGTATGTCAAAACCCACAGAATGGGACAAAAGAGTGAACCCGAATGTAAACTTGGACTTGAGTTAATGATAATGCATCAATATTGGTTCATCAATTGTAACAAATGTACATAGAATGCAAAGTGTCAATGATAGGGGAAACTGTGTGCGCATGGGGAGAAGAGAGAGAGGAACTCTCTAAACACTGGCCTACTTTTTCTGTAAACCTAAAACTTCTCTAAAAACTCTGTGACCCAACTTTCAGCCAAACAACAGACAGCCCTATAAGGTGAACAATAATACCAGGAAGGTATCCAGTCATTAGTACAATCAACCATATGATATCAAAAGGGCAGCATTTATGCAGGATTAATCTAAGAAGGGATAGTAACAAAGGATGAAGGGAAATAGTAAATAGAGGGAAGAAATGGGAAGAGTGCTCTTACACTGTGGCGACTGCAATGAATGTCACACACACACACACAAATGTGTATAAATTGTTGAATGGAAAACCAATTGGCTCTGTAAACTTTCATCTAAACCACAATAAAAAAATGATTAAAAAAAAAAAAACTTCTCTAAAAAAATACCCACCCATTACCCTCGAGTCGGATCTGACTCATAGCGACCCCTCCTTTGGTTTCTGAGGCAGTATCACTACGGAAGTAGATTGCCCAACCTTCCTTCTGAGGAGTGGCTGGTGGGTTTGAACCGCCAGCCTTCTGGTTAGCTGTCAGGTGCCTTAGGCACTACACCACCAGAGCTCCCCTAAAAAAATAAGCATATTAAAAAGAAAGAAAGAAAGAAAAAGCTTCTTGAGGAAGAGAGACACAGCAATATAGCACTTGCTGTTGTTAGGTGCTGTTGAGTCAGTGTTGACTCACAGTAACAGAACGAAATAATGCACAGTCCTGTGCCATTCTTAAAATCATTGCCATGATTGAGCCCATCATCACAGCCATTGTGTCAATCCATCTCTTGAGGGTCTTCCCTTTTTCACTGACCCTCTATTTCACCTAGTATGATATCCTTCTCCAGAGACTGGTCCTTTCTGACAACATGACCAAAGCAGGAGAGTCAAAGTCTGGCCATTCTCATTTCTCAGGAGCATTGCAGCTGTATTCACTCCAAGATAGATTTGTTCGTTCTTCCATGGCACATTCAATATTCTTTGCCGACACCATAATTCAAATGCACCAATTCTTCTGTGGTCTTCCATATTCATTGTCCAGCTCTTGTATGCATATGCTATGGAAAATACCATGGCTTGCGTCAGGTACACCTTAGTCTTCAGAGTGACATCTTTGCTCTTAAACACTTCAAAGATTTGACCAATGCAATACATTGTTTGATTTATTGACTGCTGCCTCCATGGGTGTAGATTGTGGATCCAAGTAGAATGAAATCCTTGACAACTTCACTATTTTCTCCGTTTATCATGATGTTGCTTATTGGTCCAGTTGTGAGGATTTATGTTTTCTTTATGTTGAAGTGTAATTCATACTGAAGGCTGTATGTAGTCTGATCTTCATCAGTAAGTGCTTCAAGTCCTCTTTGATTTCAGCAAGCAATGTTGTATCATCTGCCTATCAAGGGTTGTTAATGCATCTTTGTCTAATCCTGATGCCACATTCTTCTTCACATAGTCCAGTTTCTCGGATTATCTGCTCATTATACAGATTGAGTAAGTATGGTGAAAAAATATGCATACCTTTCCTGATTTTAAACCATGCAGTAGCCCCTTATTCTGTTTGAACAACAGCCTCTTGGTCTATGTACAGGTTCCAAATGAGTACAACAAGTGTTCTAGAATTCCCATTCTTTATAATGTTATCCATAATTTGTAAGGATTCACACAGTTGAATGCCTTTGCATAGTCAATAAAACACAGGTAAACATCTTTCTGATACTCTTTGCTTTCAGCCAAGATCCATATGACAGCACCAATGATATCTTGACCTCTTCTGAATCTGGCTTGAATTTCTGGCATTTCTCTGTCAATATACTAGTGCAAGTGTTTTTGAATTATTTTCAATACAAGTTTACTTGCATGTGATATTAATGATATTGTTCAGTCATTTCTGTATTCTGCTGGATCACCTTTCCTTGGAATGGGCACAGATATGGATCTCTCCCAGTCAGTTGGCCAGTTAGCTGTCTTTCAAGTTTCTTCACATAAACAAGTGAGCACTTCCAGCACTGCATCCATTTGTTGAAACATCTCAATGGGTATTCCATCAATTCCTATAGACTTTTTTTTTTTTTTTTTACCAATTCCTTCAGCACAGCTGGGCTTCTTCCTTCAGTACCATCAATTCTTAATCATATGCTACCTCCTGAAATGGTTGAACATCCACCAATTCTTTTTGGTGCAGTGATTCTGTGTATTTTTTCCATCTTCTTTTGATGCCTCCTGAATCATTCAATATTTTGCCCAAAGAATCCTCCAATGTTGCAATCAGAGCCTGAAATTTTCATCACTTCTTTCAATTTGAGGAATGCCGAGCATATTCTTCCCCTTCGATTTTCCAACGCCAGGTCTTTACACTTTTCATTATAATATTTTACTTTGTCCTGTCGAGTTGCCCTTTGAAATCTTCTGTTCAGACCTTTTACTTCATTTCATCCATTTGCTTTAGGTACTCTCTGTTCAAAAACAAGTTTCAGAGTTTCTTTTTTAAAAAATTGTGATTTGGGTGAAAGTTTACAGAGCATCAGAGTCTCTTCTGACATCTATTTTCGTCTTCTTTTTCTGTCTTTTTAATGACCTTTGCTTTCTTCATATATGATGTCCTTGATGTCATCCCACAACTCATCTGGTCTTCAGTCACTGGTGTTTAGTGCATCAAATCTATTCTTCAGATTGTCTCTAAATTCAGGTGGGATATACTGACGGTCATATTTGGCTTTTGTGGACTTGTTTTTCTTCAGCGTCAACTTTAACTGGCATATGAGCAATGGATGGTCTATTCTTCAGTCTGCCCCCTGGCCTTGCTCTGACTGATAGTACTGAGCTTCTCCATGGTCTCTTTCCACAGATGTAGTCAATATGATTCCTGTGTATTCCATCTGGTGAGGTCCACATGTATAGTCACCATTTATGCTGTTTCAAAAATTTATTTACAATGAACAGTGAATAAGTTGTTGGTTTTGCAAAATTCTATCACGAGATCTCTGGGTATCATTTCTACCTCCAAGGCCATATTTTCTGACTACCTATTCTTTGTTTCCAACTTTTAAATTTAAAAAAAAAAAAACAAACAAAAAAAAAACCTCACTGCCATCAAGTCAGATCCGACTCTTAGTGGCCTCTCCTTGGGTTTCCAAGGTGATACCACTACAGAAGTAGATTGCCCAATCTTCCTTCCGAGGAGTGGCTGGTGGGTTTGAACCACCAGTCTTCTGGTTAGCAGTCAAATGCCACCAGTAATTATCAATATATCTTGATTCCATGTTTGGTAAATTTCAGACTGCAGAAGTTGATTTAAAAAAAAAAACTTCAATTTCTTCACCTTTGGCTATAGTGGTGGGTGTGTAAATTTGAATAACTGTAGTATTAACTGGTCTTCCTTACAGGCATATGGATATTAACCTATCGCTGACAGCACTATACTTCAGGACAGATCTTGAAGTGTTCTTTTTGGTGATGAATCGACACTATTCCTCTTTCAATTGCTATTTGTTTTGGTTACTTCGTGCTGCTCTAGAGGAAAATACCATAAATGGGTGGTTTGAACAAACAGGGATTTATTCTCTTATGGTTTTGGAGGCTAGAAGTCTGAGTTCAAAGTGCCAGGCTCTAGAGGCTGAGTGAAAGCCCCTTGACCTTGGGCTTCAGCTCTGCCTCTTGTTCCCGGCCCACTGAAGCCGAACCCTTTCTTCACTCAGATAGCTCCAGGCTGCTGAGGTTGACAAACCCCAGGTCAACAGGTAAAAAGCCACAGTCCTGATATTACCAAACCACATGGCAGGCCATTGATTCAAGTCCATTAAGAGTCCCAAGATCAGGAGACATAGCAGGCTGCTGAATAACAACTCGGCTACACACAGGGTTAAAACGTGCCAAAAACTAGAGACCGTCCTCAAAGTTGCCTCTTATATACTGGAAGCAGACCACATCCCTAAAACAGCTACTCAGCTATTCCAGTAGATTTCACCATGGAGTTGATTCCTTATCTTACCATGGGCAATAACTATACCCAGCTGCCCAGCCACTCAAAACCAGGCCCGGCCATGCTGAGGCATAACCTTAACTACCACACCATTCCTGGCATAGTAGCCCATATGATTATCCAATTCAAAATGGCCAATACCAGTCCATTTTAGCTCACTGATGCCCAGAATCCCTACCTTCATGTGTTCCATTTCATTTTTCACAATTCCAGTCTTCTTAGATGCATACTCTGTCATTCCACGTTTCAGTTATTACTGGATGTTTGCTGCTGTTTCTTCTCATTTTGAGTTGTGCCTCATCAGCAAAGGAAGGTCTCAAATGCTTTACTGCATACCACATCAAGACTACTTTGAGGAGGCAGCTCTTCCACAGTTATAGTCTGAGTGCCTTCCACCCTGAGGGGCTCACCTTCCAGCACTGTATCAGACAGTGTTTCCCCGCTATTCTTGAGGTTTCCAGTGGCCAATTTTTTCAGAAGTGGACCTGGTCACGTTCTTTTTCCTAGTCTGCCTTAGTCTGGAAGCTCTGCTCAACCTGTCCCCACGGGTGACCCTGCTGGTATTTGAAATATCAATGGCATAGCTTCCAGCCTCCCAGCAACACACAAGCCACCACCATATGACAACAGATGAGTGGTGGAATACGGCACTTAGGAACAAATAATTTATTTGTCATAAGGTACTTTGAATACTAAATGCCAACACAATACCAACTCTTATTGCATATAAAGGATATTTAGTTACTGAGACTTCCTGCAGAGAGAACTCTTCACTAGTTAGGTCACATCAGTGTGATAGCAGCCTTGATGATTCAACGGACTGTAACCGTCAGGGAGGCTGGTCACTAAAGGGCTGTCTGTTTATGTCTATGATCATAGCCAGAATAAGGGGAATATTAGACACAAACCAAGAACAAATACACAAGAGTCATCAACACAACTGGTGCTCACTATAACACTTGCTTCAGCATCATAAACAAAAGTAAAGAGTCACTTGAAGCCCCACAGGTTTTTCTTTTTTTTGTAATTCCTTTCAGGTCAAACACTGAGGCATTTTGTTGAGAAGTTTCTCCTCCCTTGCATGTCTCTGTCCCTGGGGTATGCTTTTCAATAGTTCCATCACTACAGATGTTAATATTTACAAACAAACTTCAAAAATTTAAAGCAGACGCTATTTCTTGCTCCGCATTTACCTCTGGAGGTAAAAACTGTTTTGAGATATGGCACATTTAGTAACTTCTTTACAAGAAAACATAGGATTTTCAGTTTCCTAAGATTCTAATGAGTCAGGTCCGACTCGACGGCACGTAACAACAACAACAAAGACTGTAATACAGTAGACTTTCTTTTTAAACCAGACTCAGAAAATTCTTTCCCCTGCCTCTGCCAAGCTTGTAAGTGAGCACAGTCACCAAGAGCTAGGCATTAGACACTCTAATACATTTCTTTAAAAGCCATGTCTTTTCCCAAACAAACCTAAAAAGAAAGGTGTCCCATAATCCTTGACCCACTAACAAAGCTCAGTGTGGATGGAGACCAACCCTAATTTCTTCGCTCTTCTCTCTGGTGCTGGTGTATCTGGGATTGTAACACTTCAGTCCGTAGCCCTGAGAGGGGAGAGGGGTTTCATTCTCTGTTCATTTCACATTGTGATGGTTCAGTTAATGCTGAATAACTGAAATAATGTTAAAGCGGCTCGTTCATCAGCTAGAGGACGGAACTTTACATAGGGATGCATTAGTGCTCTCTCAACTGCTAGGATTCAAGGAGCCATCTCCTCTTGAAGACACTGAAACTGTTCCAACCTCTGCCAGAATCAACAAAACCTCTCCTGAACGGCCTGACTTAACATCATCAAGATTTTCTGAAACCATAAGCTTTGTTTCAATTTGAAGTAAACTCCTTAACACTAGTCTTTGAAGTCACTTCAGGAAAAGTTTTTATTATAATTTTCTGGTTAAATATTTAAGGATTGAATTACAGTAAAAGATTCCACAGATCCTATCTTTTGGATGTAAAACAACTTGGAGGAGGAGCCTTGAGAGAATAAGCTCTGGTGGAGAACAGAGCTCTGCTGAGAGCGCAGCCAAGCCTGTCCGGTCAAAGGCGATTTTCAAAGGGTAGAGTCAAGGTACTCCAAAAGCTGGCACTCTCCTTTGTGACTGTCTTCCAGCCTTCAGCCTGCAAATATGCTGAAGTCTCTTCAGTCTTCAAACAGACAAAAATCCCCTCTCAACCTGTGTCCCGCTCCAGACTCGACTAACACAACCTTCAGCTATCACCCTATCTTTCTTCCGTATATAGCCAAAGCCCTTCAAAGAACAGTCTATTAGCTCCACACCCTGTCCCTTTACTTACTTCCTGACCCACTGCAATCTTCTGCCTCACCCCATCCAGGAAGTGATTCCACAATGTATCCAATGTCCTTGTGACAGCCAAATACAACAAACATTGTTCAGGCTTCACTTTGTGGCCACTGTTGACCATTGTGTTCCTCCTTGAAACTCTCTCCTTGGTTCAGGCAATACTACTTTTCCTGGTCTCCCTCCTCTCTCTCTGATCAACTGTTCTCAGTCATCCTTACAGTTTCCCCTTTTCTATTCCCACCCTGAACACCAGTGCCCACCCTTTGCCTCTTCCCTATCTATCCCTCGTATTCTCCTGGACAATCTCAATCCCCCCAAACCCATCTCCAGCTTCTGATGCTATCAAAATACATATATTATTAACCCTCAAATACATCTATACAGTCCAGACTTCTTCCCAAAGTGCTAGACTGATAAGCCTACCTGTCCACTGGACATCCCCACCTGAAGGCATTCAAGATGCCCAAAGCTGGACTCTTAATAATCTAACTCCCCAGCCATGTGCACTATCTTCCTCTATTTCTGTTCTTGTCAGTGGCACACCATCATCCAAGCTTGAACCCTTAGAATCACTTACCTGTCTTTTCTCTGTGTTCCTCACATGCTGTTGTTCCCCAGGCCCTCAAGATTTTATCTCCCAAATTACGTCTCAAATATGTCTCTCCTTCCCATTCCTACTTCTACTTACTTAAATCGAATGCTTGGCTTCTCCGACTGGAACCAAAGCAGTAGCCCTCAGTTGCTCTCCCTGCCTTGAATCTTCTCCATGTCAATCTACCCCACATTTATCCACTAAAACGCTCTTCTTATTTATTTATTTATAAAGTACAAAGTAATATCTAATTCTAAAAAATGGTCGATTGAGTTTGTGTTGATCTACCCTTGTTCCAAGCAAGGAGAGCTGGAGATAAATAAGTAGAAACCATAATGGAAAAGCAGGACACCACAAAAAAAAGAATAGGTAACTTTGAAAAAAAAAAAAAAAACATTTTTTTCCTGGAAATAAAAAAATATTGTTGTTGTTGTTGTTGTTATGTGCTGTCGAGTCGGACCCAGACTCATAGCGACCCCTTCTTGGGTTTCCGAGGCAATATCATTACAGAAGTAGATTGCCCAACCTTCCTTCTGAGGAGTGGATGGTGGGTTTGAACCACCAGCCTTCTGGTTGGCACTCAAGCACCTTAGGCACTACACTACCACAGTGCCCATAAAAAAAATATAGTCATTGAAATTAAAAAGTGAGTAGATAAGTTAAACATCTAATTAAAAAGTAAGAGAAGAGAGAATTTAGTTCACTAGAAGATAAATGAGAAAATTTCCCAGAAAGCACCAAAGAGATGAAACAATGAGAAATATGAAAGAGAAGGTTAAGAAGCATGAACAAGCAAAGGATAAGGTCCAAGAGACGTCTGACAGGATTTCCTGGAGACAACACAGAGAATAAAGGAGAAACAATGTCAGAAGGAGTAAGTAGGATGCAAGAGGCAACAGTGAACAAAGATTCTGGTAAACATTTTGGTTAATCTATAAAAGCATTGACAAAACATGAAGTTATTTTCCTCAGAAATTTCCTCAACCTCTGTAGACTGTCTTACCTTCACGATACTCTTAGTTACAGTAGATCTTCCCCTTCGAAGTTCATTGGCTTCTCTTTCTACAAAACAGAGTGGTACTTTTCCCACAAAGATCAGGCAATCACTAGTGTCTGGAAATACAAATTCAAGGCCCAGATCTTCCAGATTTTTGTGGTAACACCTAAAGAGATACCTCAGATGTAACAGTAGTATTTCATTCATGTTCACTTTTTAGTACTGTTTCTCAAAAGTTGCCACAGGCTTTGAAAGCTGTATCATTTTTCTCACACTGACAGGTATTTGTCTAGGACTTTATTATAAAATTTCCCTTTTTCAATTACAGTAACCCCTTTTTTCCCCCTCTTTTCCATTGAATCAATTTGTTCCTAAAGTCTTGTACTTAAGTTTTTATTCTTCAGTGAGGAACTGCTGACTTCTAGCTGGCACTTCAAGGAGCCTGGCTCACAGAGAAGGTCTGAGAATATTTTGAATCGGCATTAAAGGAGGGAGATAGTTAACAGCCCCACGACCTGAGAAGTCAGATTAATGGGATGTAAAATAAATTAATCTGCCTCTAATATAAATTATGCCCCAGGGAACAATATTGGCAGTAGCATATTCCCAATCCTGAAATAAAGTGAGAGGCAATTCTTTTTCGTTTCCCATAATCTGTGCTGCCCAGAAGTGGGAAAACATCTTATCTTGTGACTCATTATATAATTTGCCCCTTCCCCGTGTTTTATGCTTTCTTCCCATTATGATCATGGAAATGAAAACTAAGAATCTAGAATGCACCAAGACAATGAAGAATGGAAGCAATCACTGCAGTAACTTGTCTTTCGGAAACAGTACAGCATAAACACTGACTGTTCCAAGAAACAGCAGAGTGTTCTAAGCCAACTGCTGGGAAAAATTATCAAGGAAACGCTATTCTGTACTCAACGGCTGTGACAGAGTGAAGGAACAGTGTTTGGAGTCTGGAGACCTACATTTCACCAACCACTTAATAGTTGTTGTAGCCTTGGATAAGTCATGTAACCTCTCTTGGTCTCAGTTTCCTCATGTGAAAAATAGAATAGTAGTTATGTTTATCCCTCACAGAATTACTGTGAGAATGAACACTATCAACACTACATCCTACTGGTGTTACTAACCTTAAGAGCCTCCTTTGTTCCTCAGTCACTGATATCTCTAGAGGTGGACTTATAGTAGAAGATAGTAGTTTTTTCCGACCAGAGCCTTGTAGCTGTTGCTTCTCATAGGAATCTATTGGAACAAAGATTAATGGGTTAAGAATAAGTGAAGTATTCTAGACTCAGATAAAAAACACAAAATGGCAAGGCACAGCCATGTTAATTATTCTAGTGCTTAGTAGTATACTCAGTGTTCAGTTTTAGGCTTTGGACTTCTGTTATTAAAGTCAAACTTGTATATATTCATCCTGTTAAATCATTTTAGCCATACTTTGCAAAATAAGAACTAGAAGACTTAAATCTTACATGCATATAAGTGAACAATGCAATGTTCCCGTAGATGTTTAATAAATGTGGTTTTACTAACAAGCGAAAAATGTGGGTTACTGGGGAACTATATGGTATGGGTTTACTACATAATCCTAAAGGAGCTCTGGGGGTGTAGTGCCTAAAGCATCTGACTGCTAACCAGAAGGTTTGCAGTTCAAACCCACCAGCCAACCCATGGAAGGAATACTGGACAATCTACGTCTGTAAAGATTTACTGCCTCAGAAACCTATGGCTCAAGTAGCCTTCGGCATTCCTCTACAAGGGTCTCTCTGTCTCTGAAGAGAATTAGTCATTACTATTCCCAAGTGGACGAGCTCTGGTAGCATAGTGGCTAAAGCACTTGACTGCTAACCAGAAGGCTGGCTGTTCAAACCCACCAGCCACTCCTCGGAAGGAAGGTTGGGCAATCCTACTTCCATAGTGATACTGCCTCGGAAACCCAAGGAAGGGTCGCTATGAGTCGGGGCCGACTCGACGGCACATAACAACAACAACAACATTCCCAAGTGGTCCAGGGCCTGTGGCAAGTAAGTAACACTATATTTGCTATACCTTTCCCACTTCCAGGCCTTCATTATATAAGGAAAGTGAAAGTGGTTGTACTATCATTGCCAATCTGTTGTTGTTGTTGTGCCAATCTAGTCTATGACGTATCTCCTTAAGTCCCTACCTAACTCTTTAACATTAGGGTTTTTCACTAATTGATCACAATTATAAAGATTTCCTTGATATTTTACCACTCGGGGAACATACTGCCTCATGATAAGAAAAATGAGTAACAAAGATTAAAAAGCATACATTGGTTTGGGAATGACTAGTGATATTGGTTGCCTCTGGGGAAGGAAATCGGGTGAGAAGGGTGACAAACGTAGAAAGGAGACTTCATTATATTCAGTAGTGATTCTGCTGGGGGGCCTCAAATCTTTCCTAGTCCCAAACAGAGCCTTACCAGTAATAAGCTGCTCCAAACGGACACGCTCATGGGCAGCATGCTGATCCACCAAAACTAGCAGGTTTCCACCTAGACAATTAGCAAGGATTACCATGTTTCAGTTTCTCAGCTCAAGAGTAAAATAATCATGGGGTGTTGAGGGAGAAAGGTTAATTCAAGCTACTTAACAACCTGAGCATAATAGAAAACATACATATTACATATGAATAATTTCACCTTTATTTCCTAAAAAACTGAAATTATGGGTAAAACTGTAACAAATTTATCCCTGATGAAAAACTCTTTAGTTCATCAATGTTTCATTTACAATACAAAGTTAAAGTCCTACATTCCTAATATTTAAGTACTGATTTTGTTTTATTGATCCAACTTTGGTACAATGAAGGATCATTAAACAACACATTATCATAAGTAGCAGAACTTGATTTGAAAGCTTCTCTGGGACCCATGAAGAAGGTAATTCTATTACACTGTACATCATAGGTCAGCAAACTTTTTCTATGAAGGACCAGATAGTAAATATTTTAGGCTTGTAGGCCAAAGAGTTTGTGTCACAACTACTATTCATTTTGTTCCAAGGCAGCCAGACTTGCTATGTGAGCAAGTAAGTGTAGCTGTCTTCCAATAAAACTTTACAGACACTGTAATATGAATTTCATATAATTTTGATGTGTCAATAATATTACTCTTCTTTTGCATCCTTCCCCAAGCATTTAAAAATGCTAACACCATTCTTAGCTCTCTAGCTGTACAACAACAGATGATGGCTGGCATTGGCCCACAGGGCATGGTTTATGCTAGTTTAAACTCCTACGGCCATGCAAATCACCTGGGGATGTTACTAAGGTGCAGATGAATATTCACTAGGCAGGAGTAGGACATAAGATTCTACAATTCTAAAAACTCCCAGGTGATGCTAATGCTTTTGTGTACAAAGTTTTAGACTCTCAAGTGCAAGAGAGAGGGGGCAGAATGTCCTGACTCAAAAAGCCAAACCTCCAGAGAAGTCCCTTCCTCGCTGACACGAGAACTGAGCCTCAATTACAATAAGACACTTGCAACTTCCTCTTCTTCTTTTTTTTTTCTTTAAATGTTGCCTTTTCTCAGGAACATGTTGAAATAAGGGAATACATAGTGATTTTTTTTTTATAGCTTGTAATTTTAAAACTTTTGGCCAAAGGATTGAGGTTTATCACTATTCCCTGTATTGAAATAAAAACTCTCCTCTTAAATTTGATCAAAACAGATAATATCTGTTTGTCCTATTTCTACTAAAAGATTTAAAAAATGTTTCTATGACATCATCAAAACACAGCAGGAGAGCTTAAGGCTTAATTAAGGGAATAATTTTTCTGCTAGCATGTTTAAACACAGGAACAGCCCTCAAAGTACGGAACTGTAAACTCCTTCGAGAAGAGCAATGGCAGCTGGTTGTGAGGAATACTGGCCATCTCGTATGGGGCACAAGAGCGGAATAAATAATGAACTGTGAGGGAATAACCTCAGACTTGAAACTAGATACAATGTGAATTACCAGAGTTAGGGACCCTAAGAAATTAAACCTGCACAGAACTCTGGAGGAATGGGTTATCTTCTTTTTATCCACATAGTGTTCATGACATTTCCCATTCCTCAAAAGCAGCAGAATATATGAACGTAACATAATTCACATCAGAGCTGTATCTCTGATATTCCAGGGCACTAGAATGGATCCTTCATGAAACAGTTGTTTGTGTCTGCTATATCCCCACCATGTATAACAGTATCAGAACAGAACAGGCCACTTTATAAATATTTATAGAATGAATGAATCCTTATTACTTAGGGTGTCATAACTGAACAAGGGTGTTTTATTGTAGGCAGAAATATGCAACATAAAATGCCAATCTATAGTGACATTAATTTCACTATCACTTAAAAATATATAATTTTAAAATGACATATGCAAATAGCAAAATAAAAGCAAGTCAATTTTAGGAATAGGTTGCACTTGGTATTTATGAGCTACAATCAAAGTACTTGCATCTTCATGCAAGTAACGTGCAAAATGCATTTATCTAAGAGTACCACTGAGTAGCAACTCATTAATAAAATGATAATATAAAATCTCAAGATACATTTAAATAAGTCCCTTTTTCCTGAACACCTGCAGATTTTTTGGCTACAACTATCTTAGGTATGATTACTAAAGATTTTGGTATTTAACAACAAAGAATTCTAGGTAATCAAAACTTCAGAAAAATCTATTCCTTTTCTAGAAACAGTAAAACTACAGGAATTTTACCTTCACAGATTCTCTATTTATAATGTGGAATAATAATTTTTGACAACTTTAAGTTAATTGTCTTTAATCTAAGATAAGATTTACTAAACAAATATACTTTGTAAACAAGACGAAAGGGAGTATTTTGATATACAGAGAATTAACTGCTTTTGTAAACAGCAGAGGTGCCTGACCTCCTCTAACTTCACGAGGGGAGAGAATCACCGTCAGCAGCATCAGCCCAAAGCTGATCCCTATGAGTAAGAGGTCAGACGTGCCTCTCCCTCCAACCTTTTCACCAGTTCTGACACCAGCTGTCCCTCCCACAGGACTCTCTACTTCTCTACTTGGTCCACTAATTTACTGCAATGGTCACACAGGACCTACAGACCATACTCACAGTTATGGGGTTTATTAGGGAAGTAACAGGTTACAATTCAGGATCAGCAACAACTCAGGACAGCCTCTTCTCAGCCTGGCCTCTGCCCTGCTTGGTCAAGTGTCACAAAGCTCTTTTAGCTCTGCCAGTAAGTCCCCAGAGGCACCCCACTTTGCCCTGGTCCAAAGGCAAGTAGCTCTACTTCTGTGGGTCGGCAAGCCTAGCTCCACCAACTACCTAGACACACCCCACCCTACCAGCAAGCTTCCTGCCCAAAGGTACTCAGCTCTCTTACTCGTGGGCCAGGAAGCCCATAGTGCCATTTCCTGAAGGTCTCCTGGTTCTGCTGCTGCCATTTCTCTGTCCTGCTCTTCTCACTGACTGCTGACTCCACACCTTTCCTCATCTTGGTGTTAACAGCCATCTTTCTATCTCCTGGATCTAGGAGGTTCTCAGCACAGCGATTTTGGGTCCAAGGACGCACTCTGCTCCCCAGTCTTCTTTCCTGGTAGTAGTGAGATCCTCTCTCTGCTTTGGAATTAGCTTTCTCTTAAGCCTAGTGGGATGGCAAACTGACCAATCCCCTTATTAGAGTTCAATCTACCTTACTTATATAGTCCCAACCACACAAGGGTGCCATGTTTAATCTCTTTGGTGGGCCATAAACACCTTAACTACATAGTCCCACCCAATCTTTTGGTGGGAGTACTATAACACTATGACTAGAAGGGCCATATTAAGTAATGCACTGCATTGCAGCTTTCAAATTGTAGAAGTACTTGTCTGTATGTCCACCGGTTTACAGCCAATCCCTTCACTGGTGCTTAGGGCTCTCAGGCACAAAGGCCTTTTCAGAAACCTCAAACTACCCATCATTCTTTGTATGTTCCCAAGATTCTCCCATTAAGATTAAGAACAAACAAAAATAACTCTCCTTCAGTCCCTTTCCTCCATGTCACAAACAGATTTCTGAGTCTCACCCTGGGGTCTCCACTAGCCTCTTTCCTTGAAACATTTCTTCTCTGAAACAGCTCTTGTTTGCTTGAGTTCATGACCTTCACTGTCACTAAATCCAGCAGATATTTTGGATCCTCATCTTATTTGACCTTTTGGCAGCATGTGGCATGAAATTTTGGCCTTGTAACATAGCATTGTTCTATTTTCTTTCTATTTCTCTCATTTACTTTCTCAATCTCTTTTGCTGGTTCATCCCTTTCTACCCAGTTATTAAATATTAGCATTATTCTAAATTCAGAAACTCTCCTCTGGTCACTCCTCATTTTTTTTGCTACATGATAAACTGGCATCTATGACTTCAATAACCAACATTATGCTGACAACTCAAATTTCTATCTCCATGCCAGATAGCTCCTTTAGTCCCAGAAGCTGGACCTCTAAACAGATAATCTATGTGACAATCCAAGTGGATTATCCATGTGATTATCCATTTCTCCTGCATGTATATCTCTTCCCACCAGGCATTCAATCAATAGTTGTTGACTGAGTTGTTACTATTTAGAAACTATTATTATTGAAAAGATTGAAGCTGTCAAAGATTTCATTTTACTTGGATCCACAATCAACATCCATGGAAGCAGCAGTCAAGAAATCAGACATCTTGGAACTTCCAGTAAGATGGCAGAATAAGCAGACAAGCTACACAGACCCTCTTCAACAAAGAAAAGAGAAACCATTTGACAGAGATATAGAAGATAGTCCTGGGGCCCTCAGCTTTGAAAGGAATTATACAGAAATGGATTAGGCACCAATTATTAGAAAAATCTGAATGAAAATGGGACCTCAGAATAGGTTCTGTATGCCAAGGATGACAGGGACATACAGGAGGCTGACAACGGGAAAGGAGACAGGTGGTGACTGTGTAAGTGCTGCTAACTAGCAAATAGAGGAGCACAGTACCCTATTTATGTAGAAAACATCCAAAGAAAATAAAAATTGTGGGCAAGTCACTCCAACATACAATCACCAATTAAATATAAACACAAAAATGTCACAATGTCTCAGAGACAACAGAGAATCACAGGGCCCACAAAGAAGCAAGATAAAGCAGGAAAAACAAGGGACCAGGATACAGACTCAGAATACATTCCTGAGGAAGAAGCAGCAATGGAACTCCCTGATAAGGAATTCAAAAGAATTATATGTAGGTACCTTCAATGGATTGAGAGACAGATCAAGGAAAACAGTGACAAAACTGAGGAAAACCCTAGAACAATTTCAGAAGACAATATAAGAACAAAATGACAAAATAAATGAAAAATTAGAAATGAAACAAAATCTACACACAGAAATGCAGAAGATTAATATTAAATTTTCAGAAATACACATTGAATGGGCAAAGGAGCAGAATTGAATCAGTGGAAGACACAATTAATGAGATTGAAGACAAATACCTCAATACTTCTTTGGAAAAGAATCAATCAGAAAAAAGATCAAAACAAAATGAAGAAAGCCTAAGGTTCGTGTGGGCTACCATCAAAAGAAACAACCTACGTGTCATCAGAATTCCAGAACAGGAAGAGACAAATAAAACCACAGAGAAAACTGTCAAAGATTTGTTGGAAGAGAATTTTCCTGGTATGATGAAAGATGAGAATATATCCATTCAAGAAGTCCAATGAACCCCAAACAGGATAGACCCCAAAAGAAAATCACCAAGACATATCATCAAACTCACCAAAACCAAAGACAAAGAAAGAATCCTGAAAGCAGCACAGGAAAAATGAAAAGTTACCTACAAGGGCCAACCACTAAGACTAAGCTCTGATTTCTTGGCACAAACCATGCAAGTGAGAAGGCAATGGGATGGTGTATATAAAACCCTGAAAAAAAAAATTTCAGCCAAGAATTATATACCCAACAAAACTGTCCCTCAAATATGATGGTGAAATTAGGACATTTCCAGATAAGCAGAAATTAAGGGAATTTGTTAAAACCTGATCAACCTTACAAGAGATACTAAAGGGAGTCCTATGGACAGAGAACCAACAACAACTGACCATTAACACACATGATGACATAACCCAGAAACCAACCCAATTACGGAAGTATCCAAAGTAAATAAGCTTCCAAGATTATAAACAGGGAACCAGAGACATCAACTGACAAATGAGGACAACTACAAACCAAAAAGAAGGAAAAAGCTGTGTAGTTACAGAACTTCTAAATGGTAGGGAAGTCAAGACAACTGAAGATAGAATGGACTGTTCTAAACTTGGGAAGAAAATTATAAATCACAGGGTAACCTCAAAGAAAAATGATAAACCTTAACATCAAAATAAAAAAGAGGACAAGCACAAATATTTAGCAAATACAAACACAATAGCAACGAAGGAAGTGATAAAATGATTCATAAACAAAACGAGCTCAGCACAGAAAATTATATGGAACAAAGAAATCAGCAATATCCATTTGCAGAAAAATGAAACAAGATTCATACCTCACACCATACTCAAAAACTAACTCCAAATGGATCAAAGACTTAAATGTGAAACCTAAAACTATAAAGTTCCTCAAGATAAAAATAGGGCCAAATTTAGGAGCCTTAATTTATGGCATAAATAGACTGTCAAGCATAACCCAAAATGCATGAACAGCTGAAGATAAACTAGATGAATGGGATCTTCTAAAAATTAAATTTTTATGTGCTTCAAAAGACTTCTCCAAAAGAGTAAAAAGAGAACCTACATATTGGGAAAAAATATTCGGCAACAACATTATCTAACAAGGGACTTATCTCTAAACTTTATAGAAAACTCCAACACCTCAACAACAAAAAGATTAACAATCCAATTTAAAAATGGGCAGAAGACATGAATAGACAGTTCACCAAAGAGGACATTCATGAGGTCAGAAAATACATGAAGAAATGCTCATGATCATTAGCCATCAGAGAGTCCAAATCAATACAACAATGAGATACCATCTCACCTAGGCACTAACAGCAAAGTTCAACAAGACAGAAAATTACAAATGCTGGTAAGGATGTGGAGAGATTGGGACTCTCATACACTGCTGGTGGGACTGTAAAATGATACAACCACTGTGGAAAGCAGTATGGTGATTCCCTAAAAAGCTGGAATTAGAAATACCATTTGACCCAGCAATCCCATTACTAGGTATATATCCTAAAGAAGTGAGAGCCAGAACAAGAACAGATATATGCACACTCATGCTCATCGCAGCACTATTTACAATAGCAAAAAGATGGAAACAACCTAGGTTCCCATCAACAGAAAAATGGATAACCAAACTATGGCACATACACACAATGGAATACTATGCAACACTAATGACTAATGTAGAATCTGCAAAACACCATATAACATGGATGAACTTGGAGGACATTATGCTGAATGAAAATAAGTCAATCGCAGAAAGACAAATATAGTATTAGTTCATTACTGTAAAACGTCAAGGAAAGGTTTACATATGGAAGGAAACTTTGTTGGTTACCAGGGGTTGGAGGGTAGAGGAAGGAACACTGCAAAAACAAAACAAAACAAAGAAAAAATGCATTGACCCATGTCACTTTAGTTTTGTGTATTTTATTGTACATAAAAATTATATTTCAATAAAATGTATTTTAAAAAAGAAATCAGAAATTTTATTGTACTGGGCAAATCTGCTGCAAAAGACCTCTTTAAAGTGTTGAAGAGCAAAGATGCCATTCTGAAGATGAAGGTGCGCCTAACCCAAGCCATGGTATTTTCAATCACTTCATATATGCATGTGAAGCTGGACAATGAATAAAGAAGACATAAGAGGAGTTGATGCCTTTGAATTGTGGTGTTGGCAAAGAATACTGAAAATACCCTGGACGGCTAAAAGAACTAAACAAATCTGTCCTAGAAGTGCAGCCGGAATGCTCCTTGGAAGCGAGAATGGGCAGACTTCATCTTACCTACTCAGGTCACGCTGTCAGAAGGGACCATTCCCTGGAGAAGGATACCATGCTTGGTAAAGTGGAGGGTCAACAAAAAAGGGGAAGACCCTCAACAAGATGAATTGACACAGTGGCCGCAATGATGGGCTCAAGTATAGCATGGATAGTGAGGGTGGCGCACAACTGGGCAGTATTTCATTCTGTTGTACACAGGGTCACTATGAGTCAGAGCCGACTGGCACCTAACGACAACAACATTGTTTCATTAAAGCATGCCATAGAGAGATTCCCTGTAACTCTTAATAAACCTAGCAGAGTTCAATATACAAAAGGAACCCTGGTGTGCAGTGGTTAAGCACTTGGCTGCTAACCAAAAGGTTGGTGGTTTGAACCCACCTGCCGCTCTGTGGGAAAAAGATATGGCAATCTGCTTCCATAAAGATTACAGCCTTGGAAGCCCAGTGGGGCAGCTCTACTGTGTCCTGTTGGGTCACTAAGAGTTGGACTTGATTCAAAGGCAATAGGTTCCACAGATTTATTATTGAAAAGAAGGAGCTCTGGTGGCACAATTGAAGAGTTTGGCTGCTAACCCAAAGGTTGGTGGTTTGAAACCACCCAGCAGCTCTGCAGTAAAATGCCCTGGCCTAGGCAGGGGCAGTTCTATTCCATCACGTAGTTGCTGAGTCTAAATGAACTCGATGGCACCTAACAACAACATTGTTATAAAGGGAATAAATGAAAGCCAAATTTATTATTAAAAAGCCAAATAGTATAAAATATAGGTGCTATAGTGCCTAAGGCGCTTGACTGCTAACCAGAAGGCTGGCGGTTCAAACTCACCAGCCACTCCTCAGAAGGAAGGTTGGGCAATCTACTTCTGTAGTGATACCGCCTTGGAAATCCAAGGAGGGGCCCCTATGAGTCGGATCCGACTCGACGGCAGTGAGTTTAGTTTAGATTTTGGTTGATAGGGTAAAAGGTGAAATTCCCAATTCACTCACCCCTTTTCTCACTCCCAAAGTAACTACTCTTTTTTTAAGCTATATTTTATTGAAATTTATGTACAGTGAAATACACATAACCCAAAGTACCTACTCTTAATAGTTTAATGTGTGTCTTTTAAGTTCTTTTTCAATGCATCTGTGTGTGTATAAAACTAAACAAAAGTTGTAATTGTTTCATAATAGTCTTCATTTAAATTGTTTTTCCCTAATCTGTCCAAATCATTGAAACTATATTGTACATCAAAAATAACCTTAAAAAGAAGCTACTACCAGAAGGCCAGCTAATTATCAATCAAGGGTAAACCCCACTCTTACCTGCCTCACCATGCTCTTCAGTCTTGGTGCTCATTAAACAGGCAATAAACTTGTTATCCACTTGCTGGAGAACCTGCCATGCATTCAAATAAGTGGTACAACACTAAATAAAAATTAACAGAGGCTTATCTGCATAGAAAAGGAGAAAACTGTACATTATCCTTAATTATTTAGTCTTTTACATTATAACACTCCTCTCCAAGCTTAAGGTGAAGTGAGGTGCTGGTGAGCCTGAGGGAGGCATTAGAAAGGATAAAAGAATGGGCAAATAAAGTGTTTAGAAGACAGAAAGGAAGGAGACTACATAGGAACACAGATTAAGAGAGGATGATACTAAAAGGCACCTAAGTGGGATATGGGAGCTTTGGTGGCATAGTCCCCAAGGCATCTGACTGCTAACCAGAAGGCTGGAAGTTCAAACCCCCCAGTCACTCCTCAGAAGGAAGACTGGGCAATCTACTTCCATAGAGATACTACCCTGGAAACCCAAGGAGGGGCTGCTATGAGTCGGAACTGACTCGACGGCAATGAGTAAGTGGGATATACTAAGACATTGGAGTAGACGTGAAATTTTCCCAACATAATGATCCTATTAATAGGTAAGATGATGAAAGAACTATTAATATGACCAGAAATTTCCAACAAATAGGACCTAACCCAATTTTTTAAATGCATGCAAAAGGAAGGAAAGCATTTTGGAGAATCCAGTCCACGAAAACACTAGAGGCCACTGGTGCCTTCAGACCTTGGTAGCACCTGTGTAACCAGGCAGATGAGGTTCTCCTGGTCTACACCATTGTCCCACTGGATCAGCTGCTTGCTTGCTCTGTACCAGGTCAGTGCCAGGTTAGTTGACCTAGATCTGTCCAACCTCCTAATTCTATACTGAAAACAAAGAGACTGAGACAGCCAGAGGGCTGTCTAGAGCACAAAGTCACAAAGCAGAGGAGACAAAGGGTTTCTTTTGTTAACGGAACACCAAAATCTGGGTCTCTTGGGCCATGCCATCTGGGGGGGGGCCTCATACAATAGAGGGTCATTTAAAAAAGGGCTTTGATACATATTTAAGAACAATGTCTCTAAAGCAGTGTGTTGAAGCATAAATTACTGTCTAATATAGTCAATGTATAATCTAAAGAAGCATCTTCACAATACTTGAAATTGTGAGCCTGAACCCCTGATTCATCTTTCCAAACCCCCTGACACTACTAAGGACATTTCTTTCTTTGTAATTATGAGTCCCTTGCTTTTTCCTTTTGATGATTAAAGCTTCAATAAGATGACAAAAACACACATGCCTTGACCAGGATGATCTGTGTATGTATGTCTCTGAAATTTAAAAGTCAAACTTGTACCTGCATCGAATGAATCATTTCTTTGGTGAAACGATAGGGATACAAGATGTTGTGAATTTTCACTGCTAAGCTCTCAGCCTGGCCACTGCTTACATCAACAGCAACCTAGGAAGACCCAGCACAAAGATCATATAAATTTTAATTTTTCACGTTTGTAGAACTGTCTTACCAAAGGTTTCGAAGTGTTTTAAAAACATTCATTATCACAGACCCTACTAAAGATGGGCTGAATTGATGGGACTTACAGAAATTCAGAAGGCTCTATGGATTATTAGGCTTAAGCTACAATTTTTCTTTCTAAACAAAATTACTGACAAAGACCAATATTGGTTCAGACCAATAATTTGTTTATGTTCCATGCTCAGATCCTGAAAGCCAACTTAACTAAACAATCAGTAATCAAATGCTCATTTATTATACACCCTCATTACAACACACAGTACATTCTGTGATCACACACACTGAGGAGAGAACATACACTCAGTCCAAAGCTGAGCTCCAGGAGAGTCACCACTTTGCCTAATATGTTTTTATTATCACCACCCTGAATACTTGGCCAAAGTTGAGTCATCGCTTCTAAGAGTGGTTCATACACTGATTAGATGCATTTAGTCCAAAATGCTATGCATTATGATGATTTTTCTCCACATTAAATATTTAATTTCCAAATAAAGTATTTGGAAACATGCCCAGTTTCCATGTGTAATTAGTCATTCGAGCCTATACTCAGCTTATATGAAATTCTAATTTTAAATAGCAGGCAAAGAAAACTTGCTGCAGACCCACCTCTGGATAACGGGCAAATACTGGATCGTCCCATTCTGAGAACAAGGACTGAAGCGGTTTGCTACCCAGAGCATCATCCACAGTATCTAGGGCAAAAGGGGACATGTGAAGTTGGCAGGAAGAGCCTTGGGGAAAAGGGTGAATAGCATCTCCTATTTGGTGTGGTGCAGCCTGAAAACCAAAGATCAGACACACTGTCCCTACATTCTACAAACGTTCAGTGTTTGCTGTATCTCTAACTCATCTTGATCTGTTGCTATTTAGAACTAGAGTTGATGAGTGTATCTTCTGGCATTATAGCTCTTTCTCCAAAGTGTTTATAAGATATTTCAGAATGCAAGCCAAGCCCAGAAGAGTCTACAGCTCAAATTAGTAGGCTCACTTCCTTTAGGTAAAAATATTCCTTCTCCTAGAAATGAAGAAAATGAAAAATAGTAGATGTCTGTAGGTTTTTTGAAAGACTAGAGTTTTGTTTAGATAGAACTATTGCAATATAGATGCAACTCCAGTCTTTAAAGGAAAGTAAAAGGCATTGCAGACTTTGCATAATCACCCAGTACTGACCTCAAGTCTGGAAAAGTAATTTCTGATCTAAATGCATGCACTGAATTACTTAGTTCTGCTGTTAAATAGGACCATGGGGAATTCTTGGTTCCAGTAAGGCACAGCTGGCACTGACAAAGCTTATTAATGCATGTCTGCTTAGTTTTCTGAGTTAGGTGGTACGGTATGTGTACTAGGTGGTCCCAGCCATGTCTGTTTTGCCCCTACCTCTGTTATTCTGTCTCATGACAGTCCTCTCTTCCTGAGCTCTAGGAAGGAAAGGAAGAATAAGGTCGCTTCTAAAAGGATGACACCTGTACTGAGACCCTAAATAAAAAAAAAGGAAAACCTGGACATTTGAACTCAAAACACAAATAAACCATTAAAAATTAAATTATGTAAGATCTATCTTTGCACATATTGAATTAATACAAAAGGCAAACTACTAAACACTAGTTTGAGAGTCACAAGTTTTAATGAAATTCTTCTTCTAACTTTAGAATCTACATGAATGCTTAGTCCCATTATCCATCTCTACAAGACAGAATGAGGACACAGAGTAGGTCACAGTAGCTCTCAGTGGGGAGAAATTCGCAGAGGGAAGGACATTTGGCACTGTCTTGAGACATTTTTGGTATCACAACTTGGGGTAAGGGTGCTACCAATATCTAACAGATAGAGACCAGAGATGCTCCTGAACATCCTATACCGCAGAGAACAGCCCCACAATCAGGAGTTATTCAGCCAAAAACATCAATCGGGTTGATGAATCCACCTCCAACAAGTTACCCAAACCAATCCCACTGCGATTGAGTCAAGTGCAACTGATGGCAACCCTTTGGGACAGAGTAGAACTGCCCCATAGGGTTTCCAAGGCTGTAAATCTTTACAGAAGCAGCCTGCCTCATATTTCTTCTACAGAGCAGTTGGTAGATTCAAACCACTGACCTTCTGGTTAGCAGCCAAATGCTTTGCTAGACAGATAATGGTACTTAACTGTCATCCTTCACAATATGGCGATCTTTCCAAATCTCCAATTTGTATGTCTATCCAGTATATGTCTCTATTACAACATGTATCTCATTATATTTATGTTTAGATAGCTGTCTTTCCAGCAGACTGTGAACTCCTGAAGTAAAATCAGTTAATCTGCAATGTGGCAGCACCTCATGTGGTATGAACTCTCAGTAAGAACAGAATGAATAGATGAATTGATGAATGAATGGTTTCAATTCAAATTTCAAAGTCTGGTAAAGTCTGGCCCCACTCTACTCTTTTCTCTGAAAGATGATCAGATTTGAATTTTAGAAACAATGCTCTGTTTACAGTTTTTGAACAAGAGTAAAATATTTTGTCCAATTACGTTAGACAAAAACTGGAGAGACATTAGTTTGGAATGATAAAATTAAGGTATGAGGTAAAATAAAATGGTGTCACTGGTAATAGACAGGGTTGACCTAAGTCATTTTGAAGAAAACACTGCCAGGGCTTGGGGACATGGTATTGCTGTTTTTAGGTGCTGTCGAGTTGGTTCCAATTCATAGCAGTCCTATGTACACCACAAAGGAAACACTGCTGGTCCTGCACCGTCCTCACGGTCACTGCTGTGTCTGAGTACATCGCTGCAGCCACTGTGTCAATTCATCTTGTTGAGGGTCTTCTCCTCTTTCTATGGCCCTCTACTTTACCCAGCATGATCTCCTTCTCCAGGGACTGGTCCTTCTGATAATATGTCCAAAGGACAAGCGACGAAGTCTGGCCAATCTTGCTTCTGAGGAGCATTCCAGCTGTACTTCTTCCAAGATAGATTTGTTTGCTTTTCTGGCAGTCCATGGTACATTCAATATTCTTTGCCAGTGCCACAATTCCAATGCATCATCACTTCTTCTGCAGTCTTCCTTATTCATTGTCCACTTTCATATGCATATGAGGCTATTGAAAACACCATGGCTTGGGCCAGGCACACCTTAGTCTTCAAAGTCCATCTTTGCTCTTTAACACTTTAAAGAAGTCTTTTGTAGCACATATGCTCTGTCAGTTTGTCACACTGTGGCAGCTTGTCATACTGACACTGGAAGCTATCAGATACAAGCAGGGTCCCCCATGGTGGACTTGGCATTGACCTTTATAGATTCTCTTTCCTGCATAATAAAATTCACCTCTTAACAATTATTCTATGTAATGTTTTCATGTATGGTTCAGCAATGTCCTAATGTCTTGCTCTTCATCAGCCTTTCCTGAAAAGTAACATTCCATACGAATGGAGGGTCCTTAGGAGCCATCATTCAAAGAATTTCCTTCTGTACCAAAAAGACTTTACTTTTCATTATGAAACTGTGAGCTACCATGACCCTCACAAGTTCACTAGAAGACTTGTTAATCCACAAAGTTAAGTAAATTGAAGTGTTTTAAACATCCAGATTCATTTAACAGGAGCAGATGTTTATGTTGAGTGTGGCAGCCAAGATTTCCTCCTTTGTTTTAGCAACAACCACGGCACAGTTTAATGTAATCCAGTTATTTTTTTGGCACTATACCAGAAGCAGTCACATTTCAGAAAGATGAAGTGCCAGCGTCTTACATTTACCTCTGATAAGCATTTAGTTACATCAAGACATAAACTATATAGATTGAAAAGCACATGTGTCTTTAAAAGCAACCTGATAGTCTCAGGAGCAGTATTAAAAGTATTAAAAGAAAGGATTTTCTCCTCTTATTTAATACTTAGAAAGTTACTATAGTAATTATTCTTTTTACAAGGAAAAACCAAAAAACATATTGAAAAGTAAAGGTCTTATTTAAATTTAAATAATTCAGAGCCTCCTGATAGAAAAAGTCATCCTAAGGAGAAATTATAAATTTGATTTGCAATTACACTCACACAATTTATATTCTTTTGCAGCTTACCAGGCTTTTAATATGGATACCTATTTAATGCTTATCGTCCTGGCGCAAAACCAAGATGACAGCCAGATGGAAATCAGTTTTACCATCTCCCAACATCTGGCTCTCAACACACTGACAAAACAATGTCACTTTTAATATGAACTGAGACCAGGCTCTAATGTAGCCTTGTGGTATGATCCCAAACTCCACTATCATCTTCCTGAATAACAGCTACTTAAACTACAAGCAAGGAGCTCTGGTAGCACTGTGGTTAAAGCATTGGGCTGGTGACCACAAAGTTGGCAGTTCAAACCCACCAGCCACTCCATGGAAAAAAGAAGAGGTAGTATGCTTCTGTAAAGATTTACAGTCTTGGAAACCTTATGGGGCAATTCTACTCAGTCCCATAGGGTTGCTATGAGTCAGAGTCAACTCGACGGCAGTGGGATACCATAAGTAGATCAAGTGGATTAGTGTATGTGCATAAAGTGCATTTGAAAAGTATAATTATTAAAGTACATATTATTCCAAAAAATAATTATGGTGACGTCTTACCTTCTAAGGGGAAAAAAAAAGTTCATAAATATAGTACTCTATGGAACCATAGATTGTACTAGGAAAACCTAGGGTGACGGCAGGGTCATTCTGCCCCTAGCTGGAACCACAGAGTAACCTCCCCCCCCCCCAAAAAAAAAAAAATACCATTCTGCTACTACAGGTGACTTTAAAGGGAAATTCCTAGAAGAGTGTATTTATGTGTCTGGGAGGGAGGGAAAAAAAAACGTCAGGGAAGCACTGTGGTTCTTCCCAGCTAATCAAAGTACTGTTTTCATTAAACTCCGACATCTCACCCTCTCTCTTACATACACCCACACACATTCATATATATACATTTTCACCCTATTCCAGTCTTTCATTGTATTTCTAGATTTATAGTTTGGGACCTAAACAGCTTTCATGTACCATAAAATATAATCCTTTATAATTGATTTTCAAAACATTCTATTTACTGAGATAATCTCTTTGAACAATGATTATTTCACTTCTTGGCCATTATTCCCATCCTCGAAGTATTTAATGCCGGTGAACACTATCAACTTACCGTTTTCAAGAATGACATTCACAGCCACAGTTGTCAGGTCTTTCTTGCATGCAGCCCGAATGTCCTTAGTAGGAGCAATGAATGTGCTAAGTCCAGTTATTTTGTTGATGTAAACCATTCTTCCCAGGGTTACATCAAAATGCTGCTGCCAATCCAAAGAAGAGGTGTTTGAGTGTTCATTTTCAAAACAAGTTCTTGCTTTCGATTCCTCACTCTGAGAACAAGTTTCGTTTTGGTCAGCTGTGGAATCTTCTACACGACTCATTAACATTCTATTGGAAGAGTTAGTATTTCCTGTCTGTGGTACTGAAGATAAAAGATCATCGGAATCTTTGCTGGTAACTTTATGAGAATTATTAGAAGGTAATACCAAAGGAGTGTCTGGTATCCCACAGTTCCCTGCTGCCTTGTTGTCGGAGTATGCTTCTCTATCTTTATTGAAGGAATTATCCTGTGTCATAGAGCCTGACATTGGGATGATGCCACTTTCTGGGTTTTTATGCTCATTTTTAAATAATTTGTAAGAATCTAGGGTTAATCGGTCTTTGCTACTGGAATCTGATTGTGGAAATTCATTAAAATGATTCATAATCTCTATTGTTTGAGTCTCTCTTTCAGAACCCTTCATTCTGGACAATTTAGAGGCTAGGGACTCAGGTGACTTCTCAACATTCAAGGCCTTTCTGTTGAAGTAAGATAACTTCTGTAGAGTTACAGGACCTTCTTTCAAACAAGAAGGCTCTTGTTCCAAACAATCTTCTTCCTTGGAGAATGGAAACTTCTCTGAGTAAAGGATGTGATTTACTGGTTGACAACTACCATTTGAATCATGTTTAATACTGATTTCACAAATACCAGAGTTATCTAAGTAGCTTTTGTCTTTCAGAGGAATGTCAAGTTCAACTTGAGGACTGAGATTGGTAGTGATTTCAAAATTATTATTTTCCTCCACTGTTGTAGTCAAAGGATTTTTAATGTTCCCATATTGCCTCTTAAACTTCTCCAAAGATCCTACTTGTGAATTCAGTCTTAGCTTCTTCTTCCAGGCTATGGGTTTGGAGGAACCAATCAATTCACCTGTTTTCTTACTCCCACTTGAAACATGGCTATACCAAGCAGAAGAAGAGAAGGTATCAGGTAGTAAGCAATCTGTGTGTGCTTTCTCACCATCTTCTTGAAAAACAGTAAAATTTTTGTAAATTCCTATAGATTTGCTCTCTAGTCCACAACTTATATCAGTTCTGCAAAATACTTTCCTGGGAAGTTGAGCAGATTCTTTACTTAAAGTACTGGTTAAATCTTTAATGTTTGGAGTCTCAGTTGAATGGTGTGTTCTATTTCCAAATGTTTCTTTGGCACTCACAGGACCAGGTTGAACAGAGTTTTTAAATGAACGCTCTGTTTCACTTGATTTAGTTTGCTCCTTTTGTACCACATGAGTTACAAAGCCAGTGGAACATAATTTAACTTGTCCATAACTGAAAATGTTTCTGCTTTCATAGTTATTAGGCTCTTTTTTCCTTTTTGCTTCTTCTCCTCTCTGAGTACCACATGCACTCACTAATATTGTTTCAAATGGCAGAGGCTGACATCCCCTTTCAGCAGCATCTTTACATCTCTCTAGTTGACACTGAATTATATTATTTTTCAAGATGTTGGCAGCCATGCCATTAACTGTCATGCTTACTTTCTGTATTTCTAGATCTTCCTCACTATTCTCAAAGTGATGTGGTGCCTGAAAAGAACTTGCAATCATTTCTGAGCTGGTTCCACATGGATTTTCTGGAGAGTTAAGTTCCAAGCAAGTTTTTTTATGTTTCTCATTTACTTCTGATTCTGATGCTTCAGTTTTCTCTTGTTCTAAGATCCTTGACTCTGAGCAAGAGCTATCTTTCTTTTGTAAAGGTGACTCTATACTTTTACTGTTGCCTGGGCCATCTAATTCATAGGTGGGCAAAAATGAATCATTTGTCTTTCTTCTGATAGCTTCTGAATCCCTAGAATTCTGTGTGTTTCCATCTTCCATAGTAGCTTTTCTTTTCACAGCTTTTGATTGCAAATTGAACATTTCATGGCAATCCAAAATATTATTACATGCTTCCTGGAAACTGACCTGGTCACATTTCTCATAAGAGGATATATGCTTCTGAAGAGTAGTGCCAAATAAACTAAAATCATTATCTTCACTAAATTCCTTAATGTCCTCACCTGATAACTCCACAAATAATTTTTCTTGCTTTAAAAACAGTTTCACTCCTTCCTGAATGCAAACCAAGAGAGTATCCCAGTTCTGAAACTCAATTAGAGTTTTTGCTGGCTCCATGCACACATCATACTCACAGAATGGACACTGCACATTGATAACATATATCCCATAAAGTTCTGGGTTAGACCTATGCCGAGGACTTGAATTCATTTGCCTACTGGCAGAGCCATTCTTTGGCTTGCATATACTACTTTCTTTCCTTAATAAAAAGTCAATTAGTTTATGCAATTTTGTCCTTAAAACTAGTCTTTTGTTCACAAACAAAAACTGCATATTCTTATTGTAATGTGCTTCAGAGCTGATATATCCAATAAGCTCAAACTCCTTGTATTTAAATTTTATTTCCCTTAACTTTTGGGACCTACCCAGTCCATAAATTTGACAAAATCGGGAACATATGTCTTTGGTTTTAGGGAGCTGAAGAATCATAGAACCAGAAACATCATTTCTCAAAGAGAAAGAAATGGAAGGATGCATGAGGGAGAGAGCTTCTATCCTCTGCCTGACCTTCTCAAACTCCAGTCGCGGGTCCATGCATTTCCTCCTGACAGGTAACTGGTAAAAGAGGTTATATACTGTTACTGTTGTCCCAGCACTTGGTCTAGTCAAGTCAGCTTCACAGGCTTCAAGGGCTTTTCCACTCTGAAACAGTTTCACAAAAGTTTTCATTGTCCTGTTTTTCTTGGATGAAATTTCCACAGCACTGGCCATGTCAGCTATACTTGCCAAGGCTTCCCCTCGGAAACCATAAAACCTGGGGTTCTCCAAGTCCTGTATAGAGTGGCATTTACTAGTGAAGTATCGACTTCCCACCTTGTCTACATCATCGCTCCCCATCCCAAGGCCATTGTCTACCACTTGAACTTGGAAGGTTTCCATATTCACCCTGACAGCCACACATTTCGCTTCAGCATCTATACTGTTGAGGGCAAGTTCCTCAACACACTGGCCTAAGGAGCTTATGGCCAAACCAGAACGCAATTTGGCTTGCACTTCATCTGACAAGCGCTTGATCATGGCAGGTAGAAAGCTGGTGAGAATGCCAGATGGTGGTTTCCTTTTCTGACTGGGAATAATTGCCTATGGGAGGAAAAAAATACACACTCTAAGCCTCAGAGTGGCACAGCATTGCCCATTTTTCTCAAGCATTATAAAGAAATATCATTTGAGGTGAATGAAATGTCTTTTATTAAAACAAATTGTAAAACAAACAAAAAAAATTATAGTTCTGATTCCCAGGTAAATCACACAGCTCATGCCTGGTGCAATGGATTTTACCTCCAAAGCAGCATTTATAATTTCTTAATTTTCACTGCTCCTTTCTAAATCCCATATGCCCTACAGTGAAATCATAATCACATTTGAAGTTGACCCATAAAGAGAGTATTCGAAATTCTAACCACTTCACCAAAAACAGATGCCTAAACTAAATTCAGCTAAAAAACATTAGCTGGAAATTATTTCATGAAAAAAAAAAAAAAAAATTCCAAGCTAGTTTCATAACATTTATATGTTACACAATAACCATGACTTGTAAAAAACACTTATAATGAAGTGTTAGGCATTGTAATCAAGGGAGGTGAGGCAACCGGATAAAATAAAAAGAAATCAAGTTGTTATATCAAAGAGAGATGATATTAAAAAGAGATTGTTACTGTTACTGCTTAAGCATAGTTGCTTCAAGTGCTGGGAAGTGAAAGGAATGAGGTAGGAAATTTATTTTTTACTGTAACCCTTTCTGCACCATTTGATTTTTAAATTTTACATGTGTATTACTTTGATAAAACGTTTTGAGAAGGTCATTTTAGAATAGAAGGTCTTATGAATAATAAATATTCTTTTGGGCTTTACAGATACCCCCATGGCCATAAGCTACCTTGGCAATAATAATGGCGAGAAGCTGTCTGAACTTGATTTTAAGGTTTCTTGCAGGTAGAAAACAAAACAATCAAGATTCTAATGCAATTAAAGGTCCCTCTCCCTCTTCATAAGGAGCGCTGGTGGTGCACTGCCTAAGGCATTTGACAGCTAATCAGGAGGTTGGTGGTTCAAACCCACCAGCCACTCTGCGGAAGGAAGACGGAGCAATCTACTTCCGTAGAGATTTATCCTCTCGGAAACCTAGTGGGGGTCGTCGCTACGAGTCAGAATCGACTCCATAGCAGTGGGTTTTTTTGGTTCTCCCTTCTTCATAAATGAGAAAACAGTATGGGCTGGATCTCTCGCAGGTGTTGGGGTGGTTTTTCAAACGCGGGAAAATCAGGGCTGTAATTACAGACCTGATGATTTCTAAAATAAGGAACATCACAGCTGGCAGCAAATAAGGGCTAAGCGTTTAATCAGCCCCCGGGACAAATGGGGCAGTTCCGTCTCGCCCCAGAGAGAAGGCCTCTGGGAGCGAGCGGCCCCAGCAGCCCCGCCGGCAGCCCGCCGCGCCCCTCCCCCCGGCTCCCGCTTCACCCGGTCCCAACCTCTTCAAGACGCTGCCCGAAATACGGGCCCGTCCGGACAAGGACGCCCGCGCGCAAGGAAGGCCTCAGAGGCCTCTCGGGCCCCAAGCGCATCAGAGTCTGAAAAACTGGCCCGCACAAGTCACCACGGCCCTTTTGGTGTTAGAAGGGCTCTCGGAACCATCGTTTCGTCGCGTGCTTTCCCCCAAGTCACCTCTAATCGCGTTTCACCAATTGCCAATACCAACCGCCTCCAACGCCGGACGCGCGCAAGTTGGTTCGCAAGACACGTGCACGCGCGAGCCCACGAGCATGCGCTTCTGCGGGGACCCGCTGAGAATGTGTCTGCAGTGACAACCCAGTGCGCATGCGCACCTGGTGTTCCTAGGTTGAGAACTAGTCCATCCCAGCGTCTCATCAATTCATACCTCTCCTCCCCTTACACCCTGCTCCATTCTCAATCATCCCCTTTCCAGGGAGCATAGTGCCTAAGGCACTTGACTGCTAACCAGAAGGCTGGTGGTTCAAACCCAACAGCCACTCCTGAGAAGGAAGATGGAGCAATCTACTTCCGTAGTGATACTACCTCAGAAACCCAAGGAGGGGTCACTATGAGTCAGGTCTGACTCCACAGCACATAACAACAACAACAACAACATGGCGGTGTATTCCCTAAGGCATTTGACTGTTATCCAGAAGGTTGGTGGTTCAAACCCAATAGCCACTCCATAAAAATTTATTGCCTTGGAAACCCAATGGGGGTTGCTATGAGTCAGAATCTATTCATGGCAGTGAGTTTAGTTTTGTTTAGTTTTCATCCCCTTTTGGCATGGTGTGAAAGGCTGTTTCTAGTCATTTCTATTCTTCGGTTTTTCCTTTTCCCTCTCGTTTTCTCTTTGCTTATTTTAACTAAAAACCAGTTGCCATGGAGTAGATTCTGACTCATTGTGACCTCATGTGTGTCAGAGTAGAACTGTGCCCCATAGGGTTTTCAATGGATCACTGGCCTCTTTTCCCGCTGAACTAGAATTTCCAATCTTATTGTTAGCAGTTAAGGTACTGTACTACGTTTTAATACAATACATATTGTACTCTTTTGCTTGTTGTCTTCTCCCATATAGCTTCTTCACACAAGCTATATGAAGGTAGGAATTTTTTCTGTATTGTTTACTGTTATATTCTCATGGGCAAGAACAATGCCTGGCATATGGTAGGCTCTCAATGAATGAATAAATCCAGATCCTTCCACCTTACAGAAATAAAGCATTTTCAGAGCTGGAAGTGACTGAGAAGCTATCTAGCTCAACTCTTAATTTAGAGACTTAACTTACAGAGGAGGACACCAAGATTCCCTCAGTGACATTTTTGGCATCTTCCCAATACTACTGAAGCTTCTTCTCTAACTGAATGAGAGTGGAACTCCAAAAACAGTGTGAGAACAAGTGTTTTCTTGAATTGTTAACCAGTCTCAGTTTTTGCTTCCTATATCATTTTCACTGAAACTTTTTTTTTCAAGTTGGGATTTATGACAAATTTGTCAAACCCAGTAAATATCTGATGTATACTTGTTTAAATGGCTGAACAAACCAAATCTGGAGACTTCTAGGCTACTGAGGCAAAATCCTGATTATTGCTTTATGTAAATTCCTTACCTGGAGGAAAAGAATGAGAGTGGAACATCCACAAAGCTGAAAGGAATTAGTCCAAAACATAACTCGAACAGCTAACAAATAAGAGCTAACATTTACTCTTATTAGAAAGGAACTTTCCTGAAGGAAACTACATGGAAATCCTTTAAGGAAATAATTTGAGATAACTGTTTTCTCTTTCCTTCAGATCACTTTAAGTTTCCTCAAAGTATTCTTCTCATAGATGTTCACTGAATAAACACTTCTTATTTCGCACAAAAGAGTGCACTGGGAAAAAAAAAAAGTAGCCTAAACAGAAGGTTCTAATGTGATTTTATTGATTAGGATTATGTGTATGGTTGTAGTCCATCATACATGCAATATACATTAGCATTCAAATATCTGATACTAAAATAAGTTATTGACAAGTTCTAATATTGAACACACGATAGTTCTACCTCTGTTAACAATAAAAACCAAAACCACTGAGTTAATCTTAGACAATTTAGTTAAGGCCATTATTTCACAATTTGGAAGTCCGAGTAATCCACCTTTAAGATGACTTTCTCATTGCTGAAGTTTGCTCTGTCAATGTGTGATTTGGGGCTTCCTCTTGTCTCAAGCCATTCCTGCATGTGGCGCACTTTAGAGGTGGGACCCTGCAACTGTCCTCGCACTGTGCCCCGGTCAGTGTTCTGGACCCAGCCTACCAAGCCCAGCTTTTTACCCTCAGCCTAAAGGAAAGAAAGAGAAAGATCAAGTGAGATGGAAGCAAACAAAGTAAGACTACAATCTGTTGCCAGAATCTTGATCTACAATCAAGCCACTGAAACTAATTGGATATTGTCCAGAGCAGTCAAAACAGGGACCAGCAAGGAGGATCTCACTGCTGATTTTTAACATGAAGTGCTGGCACCTGGCTCCATTTTCTTCTACCCTGTAAGACCCAGATACTAGAATTTTTCAATATGTAGTCAATTTGGTAAAGTATTAAAGACTTCAGTCCAAAACAGATGCTTTCAAAATGACCCAAGACTGACTGTTGTTAAGATACTGGCTTGTATCTTGCTCCTTTTCCCTTCTCCTAATCTAGACTCTATTGGATATATTAAATAGAAAAAGCATGAAGTTATCGGATCCCTTCCTTTGGCTTTAACCAGGATTACACCTAAACAAATCCAGATGAGTAAGTGTCCATCGTAGCTTTAAAGATCATTAGAGAGAATTTCACAACTTCCTGGCACTCACTAATTGTTCTCATGGTAGAGAAACTGTCTAATCTGACACTTGTATGTTGCATCCAAAGCCCACTTTCTGTCAGTCTCCTAGAGAAGGAAAGCAGCTGAGTCATCAGTCTCTGCACCCCAACTTTCATGGGTCCCCCTAACTACTAGGTGTTCTCTCAACTTTCTTCTCTTCTGTCTGAATAAACACAATTCCTTTAAAGTTAAACCAGACTTATGAAGGCCATCTAATCATTTTAGTGGCTGTTTTCCTAGCCTTCTCAATTTCTTTTGTTTAAGTCAGTAAACTATGACAAGACTGTAAAACTGTATGTTGTTGTTATGTGCCATCGAGTCGGCTCTGACTCATAGCAACCCCTCCTTGGGTTTCCAAGGTGGTATCGCTATGGAAGTAGATTGCCCAACCTTCCTTCCAAGGAGTGGCCTTCTGGTTAGCAGTCAAGCACCTTAGGCACTATGCTACCACAGCTCCTATACAAATGCATATGTAGAAATATTGTCTTCTATTACAATGTGATTTTTCTGAACCCCTCAAGGTAGCAAAACATTCTAAAATTTGACAACTATTGAGAATCGGAATTTCCTACAGGTTTTATTTATACACTTGATTCTGTTCTTATTTTTCAAATGATAGCATAATGTTGCTGATTTATGTTCAGTTTTGAATATCTAAACCACAAGTAAACTACAAGTAAGGACTGTTTCTTCCTAAGAAACTTCACAAAAGCTAATTTCCCTGATAACCGTATTTCTGCTTAGTCATCTGACAAAATTTTAAGGACTATAATCATCGATGTTACTTGCAACAACAAATAAAATCTCCTTAAATCAATATCCTGCCCTTCCACCTTATGAAATCTAAAAAATAGCAAACTAAACCCAAAACAAGCAGAGGAAGGGAGTAATAAAGATTGGGGCAGAAATTAATGAAACAGAGAATAGAAAAGCAAAAGAGAAAATCAATGAAACTAAAGTAGGCTCTCTGAAAAGATTGGTAAGACTGATAAATCTTTAGCTAAACTAATCAAGGAAAAAAAAAGATTCAAATTACTAAAATCAGAAATGAAAGAGGAAACATTACTGCTGACCTCAGAGAAATAAGGATTATAAGAGAACACTATGAATAAGTGAAGGTAACTCAAAAACAGCATGGAACAAAGGATATCATTACTGATGTCTGATGGATCTTAGATAAAAGCAGAGACTACCAGAAAGACATTTACCTGAATTTTTACTGACTGTGCAAAGGCATTCAACTGTGTGGATGATAATGAATTATAGATAACATTGTGAATAATGGGAATTTGATAACACTTAATTGTGCTCATGTGGAACTTGTACACAGACGAAAAGGCAGTTGTTCAAAAAGAACAAGGAAAATACCATGTTGTTTAAAATCGGAAAAAGTGTACGCCAGGGTTTTATTATTTCATCATACTTATTCAATCTGTTTTCTGTTTCACTGCTATTCATAAGGATTCATAAATCAGATGTACTGCACTGGGCAAATCTGCTGCCAGGGACCTGTTTAAAGTGTTAAAGAGCAAAGATGTTACTTTGAAGACTAAAGTGCATCTAACCCAAGTCCCAGTAATTTTGAATCGCCTCATATGCATATGAAAGCTGGACAATGAATAAAGACCAAAGAAGAGTTGAACTGTGGTGTTGGTGAAGAATCCTGAAAGTACCATGGACTGCCAAAAAAACAAACAAATCTGCCCTGGAAGAAGTGCAGCTGGAATGCTCCTTGGAAGCGAGAAGGCCAGACTTTGTCTCACCTACTTTGGTCATGTTGTCAGAAGAGACCAGTCCCTGGAGAAGGAGCCCATGCTTGGTAGAGTGGAGGTCAGTGAAAAAGGGAGAGACCTTCAACGAGACAGACTGACACAGCAAGGATGGTAAGGATGGCGCAGCGCCGGGCAGTGTTGTGTGCTCTCGCACACAGAACTGCGATGAGTCGGAATTGATTCCACAGCACCTAACGACATTCAATCTGTATGCTGAGCAAACAGCTGAAGAAGCTAGCTACATGAAGAAGGGAGCACATCAGGACTGGAGGAAGACTAACAAGCTGCCATATGCAGACGACACAACTTTGCTTACTGAAAGTGAAGGGGACTTGAAGCACTTACTGATGAAGATCAGTATGGATTATACCTCTACACACACACACACAAAAAAAAAATCCCCACAACTGGACCTATAAGCAACATCATGATAAATGGAGAAAATAATGGAGTTTTCAAGGATTTTACTTGGATCTGTAATCAATGCCCATGGAGATAGAAGTCAAGAAACCAAATGACATACTGCACTGGACAAATCTGCTGCAAAACTCCTCTTATGTCACTTTGAGGACTAAGGTGCACCTGACCCAAGCCATGGTATTTTCAGTCACCCAATATGCCTGCAAAGGCTAGACAATGAAAAAAGAAGACCAAAGAAGAATTCACACATTTGAATTATGGTGTTGGCAAAGCATGCTGAATATACCACGGCCTGGGAGCTCTGGTAGCATAGTGGCTAAGACACTTGCCTGCTAACCAGACGGCTGGTGGTTCAAACCCACCAGCCACTCCTCGGAAGGAAGGTTGGGCAATCCTACTTCTGTAGTGATACTGCCTCAGAAACCCAAGGAGGGGTCGCTATGAGTCGGGTTTGACTCGACGGCACATAACAACAACAACAACAACCAGAAGAACAAAGCAAATCTTACAAGTACAGCCAGAATGCTCCTTTGAAGGGAGGACCTGTCTGGTTTACTTTGAACACTTCATCAGGAGGGACCAATCCCTAGACAGGTACATCATGCTTAGTGACGCAGGTGAGTGAAAAAGAGCAAGCCCCTTAATGAGATAGACTGACACACTGGCTGCAACAATGGGCTCAAACATAGCTGCTGTTCTGTTGGGAGGACGGCCCAGGCCTGGGCACTGTTTTGTTCTGACTTGAGAGAGACTTGATGGCACCTAGTGACATGAAGAGTTGTGTGCCACGAATTAAATAACTTAGATGAAAAGGACAGATTCTTAGAAAGACAAACTACTGAAACTGAGTCCAAAAAAAAAGGGGGGGGGGATCTCAATAAACTTATTGAATAGAGTTATTGAGTAAAAGGACTGAATTAGTAGCAGTAACAGTTAAAAAAAAAAAAAAACTTCCCACAAAGATAATCCCAGCATCAGATGGCTTCAAAGATGAATTCAACCAAGCATTTAAAGAAGAATCTTTCTCATATTCTTCCACAAAACAGAAGAGGAAAAACACTTCCAACTCATTCTATGAGGCAAGTATTATCCTCATACCAAAATCAAAGATATCACAAGAAAAGAAAACTATAGACCAATACCCCTTAAGAATACACATGCAAAAATGTTAAACAAAATACTAGCAAAGTGAATCTAACAGCATATAAAAAGGAACAGACACCCTGACCATACAGAATTTATGCCAGGAATGCAAGGTTGTTTCAAAATACAAAGATAATCAATATAATACACCACATTAATAAATAAAAACTACATGACTGTCTCAAGAAATTCTGGAAAAAAAAAACTTTGACAAAATCCAACACCCTTTTATGATTTAAAAAAAAAAAAACCACTCAACAAACCAGGAATAGAAGGGAACATCCTCAACCTAATAAAGGGTACCTATGAAAAATCCATAGCTAACATCATACTTAATGGTGAAAGACTAGATGCTTTCCCCTAAGATCAAGGTCAAAACAAGAAGGTCTGCACTCACCACTTCTATTAATATTATATGGGAGGTTCTATTGAGAGCAAAGAAAAGGAAATAAAGGCATTCAAGTTGGAAGGGAAGAAGTAAACCTATCTACATTCACAGATGACATAATCTTGTATAAGAAAAACCACAGGTATTCACAAAAAGCTAATAAACAAGTTCAGCAAGGTTTCAGGATACGAGATCAGTATACAAAAATCAGTTGTATTTATAAACTAGCAATGAACAATCCAAAATGAAATCAAGAAGACAATTCCATCCCCAATAGCATCACATGTAATAAAATACTTAGGAATAAATTTAACAAAGAAATCCAAGACTTATGTACTGAAAACTACAAAAAAAAAAAAAAACATTGAAAGAAATTAAAGACCTAAATAAATTGAAAGACCTCCTATGTTTCTAAATTGAAGACAATATTATTAAAATGACAATATTCCCCAAATTGATGTACTGATCCAAAGAAATCTCAATAAAAATCCTAGGCGCCATTTTTGCAGAAATTGACAAATTGTGTAAAATTTACATGGAAATGCAAGGGCCCAGAACAGCCAAAATAATTTTAAAAAAGCAAAGTTGGAGGACTCATAATTACTAAAAGGTACAATAATCAAGATAGTGTGGTACTGGTATAAGGACAGACATACAGATCAGTGATCCAGAGTACAGAAATGCTGTTGTTAGGTGCTACCGAGTTGGCTCCGACTCATAGCAAGCCTAGGTACAACAGAAGGAAACACTGC